TGCACATACACACAGTGGAGAAAAATATTTTAGTATGTTTTAATAATATTTGGTGGAGCAAACACAGCAGGGAAGCAACTTTACTTGAAAATGCAAGTCCACAACTCTCACCTGTCTCGCCTCTCCAGACAGGCCGGTAGGTTACCAAGACAAGTTTACAGCGTTATTAAAAGAAGTCTAGTTCAGAAGTATGTGTTTCTAAACGTTTGCATTACTGGGGGTGTATTTCCAACAAGAAGGCTGAGTCTTTTCCCAGAAGGAGAATTTGGGAATTAGCTCAACTTTTGGGAATTAGCTAAAGTGAAACAGTGATCAAAGGCACTAAAATATACTTTAAATTCCTTCAAATCTCAGTGTGAGGTACCCCCGCTAATTGTTTCAAGGGGGTGAAAAGGAAAAAAAAGGAAAAAAGATTAAATCTACTTATACTTACAAAAGAGAATAATTATTTTGTGCATAATATTGCTGCTGTTTTTACAAGACCTGTTGCTCTAAGCTCTCTATTTTTTTTTCTTATTAGTGTTTAATTACATACACAACCCTACCAAAGTCCTTACGGTTTTTGGTTGTTTTGTTTTGTTTTTTACATGTAGGTAGTACAATATACCTACAGTAATTCTGCAGCAATCTTTTCTTCCACAAATACTGTACTACGGGCACAGACCAAAAGGCCAGAATTTCTCAGAACGCACAGAATATTGGCTGTTGAAACTTTAAGCAGATTTCTTGTGTCCAGTTTTCCTTAACAAGTACTGCTTACTAGCCCCCTGAAGTACTGTGATTTTGCTTCAGATGGCAAACTGGCTCGGCAAGCAAAAGGAAAAGGAAAAAAAAGAAAAAAGACAAATAGTCCATTTATAAAAGAGCTCTTCTCATGACTGCAGTTACTCCCTGCTCGCTCTCAAATGCAACAAGAAACCAGAAGGAATGTGTAACACCCCACGTACTCCAATTCACGGCTATTTGCATGTTCTAAACTGGGAAGCTTTGACTTACATGCATCCCCAAAAGGAAAATGTGCTCCAAGTTTATTCTTGTCCAAGAATAAATAATAAATCATCTGCTTCAAAACAAGACTGTTCTGTGTAAAATTGGTTTTTGGTTTGGGTTTTTTTTTCTTTTTTCTTCAGAGCCAATCAGAAGCTTTGGAGAACACCAACTTGATTTGGCTAAAGATGGGCATTGTACCAGTTCACAATAAAGATATCCCTTTTAATATTAATGGAAATTCTCTATATTTATTACAGTTCCTAGTAAAACAAAATCTACCAGCTTGCTGTTAAGTTTTCCAAAGTCTATGCAGTTTTAAAATATGCTCTGCTATTTATAATTTTTGTCCTGTAACTAATTAGGTTTTATAGCAAAGTTAATGACTTAAACTTTCTAACAAGCATATTAGAATAGCCTTAACTGACAAGATATTCCTCTGGATGCCCACCTCAGAGATCAACAAAATAAATAATGGACACAATCAAACATTAAAAACAGACAAATAAATACTCCGAGCCCTATTAAATCTTGAATGAAAGAGACGACACCTGGAAGCACATCAGACACCAGCCCAAAGCGCATGGTGTCACACGCCCGAGCTCCGGCATCCAGATGTCATCTCACCATTACTGGGTGCAAAGCCCTGGCTTAAGTATAGTCATTTTCTGAAGTGGAATAGCCTGTCAAACAGGTATCATATGGCTCTCTGGGGAAAAAAATATCCATACAAATGAAAGAAAGAAAAAAAAAACAACCCATAACCTATGAATGTAGTAAAATGCTCGCAGTATAAACTGCAAAAAGAACAGGAGGTGAAAGTTTTTCAAGCAAATAGAAAGCAGTATTGAAAATGAAAATAAAAAAAAAGGAAAAAAGCATTCCTTCTCACTTCATGCTGAATTGCCCCTGCGTTCCCTCCTACGCCCCCCAATAAAATGAAGTTTCTGTGATCCGCGAGTCCGTCTCCATTAAACTAAATCCTGGAGCTTCTGCTACAAGGGAGCTTAAATTAGGGAAGGAAGGATGGTAAGCCACCATGTTGTAACAATAAGTAGCAAAATTCACCTTAGCTACACTCATTACCTTTAAAACATAGGAGTTTTCTGGTAAAGCTTGTGCATGAAGAGCTCTCCCCTATGGAAAAGTATCTCCTGTCTTCTCTCACAAGTCACACGGGGACAAGGGAAAGCAGCAGAAGAGGTGCCACCTGGTGACTTCACCCAACCCTCCAGCCTCCGGCTGGTTTTGGTGTTTATCACCCATCCCACAATACCGCTGCCTTTCCCAACACAGTTTTGTTACTTAGCGAGACAGGAGGCGTCCACGTTTCCCCTCTCGCCGGGGTTTTCCCTGCCTCACGGTCGCCTGCTGCCCCGGCGATGCTCCTGAGCGGCCGTGCCGCCGGTCAGGCATCCTGCCGTTCCGCTGAGCGAGGCGCTCGCCTGCATCCCACGAGCTGTGTATGGGCAAATCTTTCATTTTTCTTTCATTATCCCGGCATGTACTGTCACTTAATTTTTATGTATGCAATCCTTCCTGACAAATATGATCTGCTGCCTGGTAATTCGTCTGACGTTCATTCTGTTCCTTGCTCTAATTACGGCTCCCATTCCTGACACGGCGGCGGCCGCACTGCCGCAGCCCGGTGGTACACCTGTCAGACGGGTTGTGGTTCTGCCTAATGCCCTTTTATGCCAGTCTGATGCTAGCAAATACAAAGAAAGAAAAAAAATTAGATGAATATATTTGCATAAGCCACGCGTTCAATTCATGGGTCAGCAGCCAGAGAAATGATGGCTCAGGGCGGTTGCCAGGGCAACGCGGCTACGGGAAGTGCCCAGCATCGCAGCCTGGGTCCACGCGGGTACCACGCTCCGGTTTGCAGGGTGTTCATCACTCATGGCTACTTAAACAAATGTCTTAATTAAACCAAAACCAAGACCGGTAGAATCCCTGCTGCTACAAAACCTGTATGTCTGGCAAATTACACACACACAAAAAAAAGCTTAAAGTCTGCATCTTTTTTGATTGTAAAAATGTTTTTTTCTTGGATACAAGAACCACTGGAAATGGTGGCACGTCAATCCCTCCCACAACAGGCTGTCTCCAGCAGCACTCACTGCCACTCCTTTCGCATTCTGCGCCTTATTCACCTGTTTCCAGGATGCTGTTGATCTGAGGAAGGGCAAGGTTCACGCAGAAGAGGCTTAACTCTTCCTACACGAGCTTTCTCAATTAAGAGAGAGCAACCCCGGTAAAGGTCACAAGCTTGACTTGCATGTGCAGCCAGTTTCCAAGTCCCAATTTATTCTTATTAATATAATAAGTGCAGCAGTCAAACTAGATAAGATCATATAATTAGACATGATCGTATTTTTGCCTGTTCAGATAATGTGATTGTAACTTTCTGTGAAGAGGATTGATTTTAATCTATTAAGTATAGTGTGTATATAACCTAGGATAGCTTTTGATGCAAAGGGAAATCTCCTACTATCTTATGAAAGTAAGCTGTAGAAATGCCTCTTTTTTTTTTTTTAGCACACATGAAATAAGGCATATATCTTCCTTTCTTGTGCACCGAGAAGCCCCAGTGCTGCTGGCGAGTACTGTCAGTTAAGTTCGTACGCATATAAGGGACAATCGAGCGAGGCTCCCCCTCAGTGGGGCAAACTGCACAAAGAAACAGGGAAACAAACACCTCGTGTTCAACATCAACCGAGAGCGCGCAATGTAAAAGCGCTTACATGCTGCGCTAAAAGCCAAAGTTCCTTCGCTGCTGTACCACAGAAGTACCTTTGTGACCCATTAAGAAAAATGGAAAATCGGCCACCTCTCAAGAGGTTACAGACACAGTTCTGCAATACTTTATACTGTAAGACTTAAAGAAGGAACTGTATATAATGTATACTTTTCTATAGCATTGTAATTAATGCTAACAGTAAAAACGAGGCACAGAGAAACCCACATGCTCTAAACCAGTCAACTTAACTTCAATTCCCAGAAAAATGCTGGAGGTATAACCATATTACTTGTAAAACAGAAAAAAGTGACTGGTCCACAAAACATCATGACAACTGATGTAATTTTTTTCTGTGATAACCTAAGATGCTTCAGAGGGAGGGAAACAGAAGCAACAGATGCAACAGAACTTCCAACGCTTTTATCAAAGGCTTATATAACTTATAAGCAACTGTTAAATCTGTCTAAATGGAACTACTTAATGGTGCAAAATTGGTCGGAAAAACAGTTCCCTGTCAGAGCAGAAGGCTTCAAGCGAAGTCCTGCGAGAGAGCTGACAGCTCTGGTTCTGCCCAACGCACGCATTAACAGGGGGACCGTGGCAACACCACTGCCTCTGCGGGTAACAAGGAGTTGGGGGAAACCAAAGCACGGCAGAGTACGGAATAAAAATTCAGAGCGATCGCAAGTAGGAGAGTCTGGAAACGGGGTACAATTCAGTAAGAATAAAAGCAAGGTACTACGCTTTGGCAAGAATAGTTAGCTGCCCCAACAGAAGAGCAGGAAAACAACCTTGAGATATGTGGAAGACGTTAAGAAAACGTGCATCTTTAAAGCCTAGGCTGAGCTTCAGGTGAAGTCCCTTTTTGGAAGGGATGAACTGTGAGGGCTTTGAACACTTCCCTCCCCTCAGACGACAGTCACAGCCCCTGTTCGGGGTGAGACTGCCGATCAGCATCTGCTGAAGACGGTGGCGGTGCACCTCTAATTCCAGTAAGGCGAGCACAGGCAAACGTGCCATTCAGAGTGGAAAAGCTGCATTTGTTACACTTGCTGTAAATCACACACTTACCAGGCCGGACCTTCCAGAAAAAAATAGCAAGTGGAGTTTTAAACCAAAAAATACCTATTATTTCATATGAAGAGTATTTAAAATACATATCATAGAAAACATAGTACGCATCCACTGAATCAAGCTTCTGTCACAGCAAGAGGACAGACACCACTTCTTTTGAAGATCACAGCTGACAACCGTACAAGTACCAACTTACCTAAGGAATGTGCTGCAGTGGTTTTAGAACTAAAAAACCGGCCTAATCCAAGATCTCCCAGCTTCACCACCCCTGTGGCTGTTATAAACACGTTGGCAGGTTTTATGTCTGCAAGAAGAAAAAGGTAAAAGGTCAAAGCCACAAAAGGTTATTTGGTTCTAATACTGCAATAGAAACATAGCCTGGAGCGCTCTCTGTACAAAAGAGGCTCGAGCAGAACCGTGTTTCTTTATTGCTTTGATAGGCTGAATCTTCCAAGACTTCAAGCTCTGCACATACACAAAAACCAGAGTATACTTCCCAGCACACAAGAAATACCAATGAGGGAAAATGTAGGGAACGGCACAACAGAATAGAGGAAACCTCTTTAACTGATGGAAATCGAAGAAATAAGTCTGCTTCTCTTTGCAAATGATGGTTTTCTACAAGAAACTGTACTGCCCACCATGGTCCCCTCACAGCACGGGCAAATGATTGTCCCACATATACGTGAATTCTGGGCTCTATACAGCCCAGTTTGTTCATGGAGTGTAAAAATTACTAGAAGCCCAGTTGCCCAAGCAGTCACGTCAGGACTGAGCGAGCGAGGGTCTTTCCTCACGTTAAAGCAGACAACATGTGCGAGGCTCCAAATTTCAGTTGCCCATTACAGACCTAATTCAGGTACAACTGATGAACTGCATCAGGGGATGTATAAAGGAGCAAAAATTATATCATGCTGTTGGAAAAAAAAAAGTGAAGAATTCACTGCTTCAAAGGAGAGAGGAAATAATAAGCAGCAGGGAGCGGTCGCGGTGCCTTTTGGGATATTTGCATTTCCTGCGTCAAGCCCTTCACAAAGCATTTCATTTATGCTGAAAGAAGCAACATAATTTTTGGATAGAGTTCAAAGTTATGGAAAGTTCTAAGACAAGAGATTCAAAAATAATTAATGAAAAGGGAGAACAGGTTGTAAGAGTGTGGGACACATTGGTATTAATATTTCAGAAAAGCTCGCAAGACAAAAACTCTTCTAAACTCTCTAAGGTCACAGCTAATATAATGAAGACTATTTCTTAGAGTTCACTGTATCTAGTAGTCTCAGCATTTTACTTCTGACACTTTTCTAATGGCAAGTTTGACACTTCTGCTTAATATCAGTGTCTGGAATACAGAGCAGCTCATCTTCCTAATACCACGCTCACTTCGGACTGAATCCTTTAACAATAAGGCAAAGAGACAGAAGGAGAAATCCATCTCGCAGGCTCCAGCCTCTCTAAACATGCATTGGCTGAACATCAGCATAATTGTTTTTGAATGTAGGCGCTTACTAATTGGAACATTATATTATTATTCAGTGAAAAGAGACTGAATTAATGTTACCTCTGTGCATCACCCTGCGGGAGTGCATGTGTTCAACTGCACTGCATAACTGCACAAAATATTTCCACACTGTCCTTTCCGGGATTAACCGTTTCTGCTTTTTAAAATACTGTGGAAGGAAATAAATAAAAGATCAGTGAAAAAGCAACATATTTGACTCGTTCCTGAACTCATGTTAGTCAGCTGCGGGTTGCTCATGTCTTCCAGATCTGCAGCAGCGCGACTTTCCTTCTTATTAGCTTTTAACTCCTTCTCTCTGTATGTAAACTTCAATGCAGTTCACTAATTAACAGCTATTATGAAAAATATGCTTAAATAGGTTTGACATTTTTGAATGGACACCAATTATAATTAGCATTAATCTTCTTAATTACCTTGCAAAACATATTTAATGCCTCAAAACAACAAATGTCTCAAATATTTTGCCTTAAGTAACAAAGGATCATTAAAAAAAAAAATCTTGTAAACATTCGTTATTGTACAGTCTATTAACAACAATAAGGAAATCTGTTTCCCCTTTTTTAAAAGATGGCCAGAATATCAATAAAGTATCCATGTTTCTTCTGTGATCAGGTAGAATAATATATTCTATTTCATGCATAATGGGAATATTAAATTAACTGAACTATCTCCAGTGAGACAGAAAGACACGACTGATCAAGAGACACACAGATCTGGAAAACGACCGTTTTGTGTGCATTTATGCAAAGCCAAGCAAAGCTGAGTCCGGATTCGATGGACCTCTGGGCGCTAATAGCTCTCAAATAAAATAATCGTAAGGATAATGCAGACAATACGAAGGAGCGCAGCGTGGTGATGGTTCTCTGCAATACTCAAGTCTTCTTCCCGAGCAACTTATTACAGGAATAAATAACCACTGCACACTTCAGTGAAGGCTAAACATCACCTATCTTCAACTATTTCTCCATTTCAGACATGCACAACAGCCGCGCACGTGGCACGCAAAGCGTGACCGCCTCCTCCAAGGCATCCCAAAATCGCGCTCCTTCAGCTCACTGGTCCCCGACTTCTCATTGCTTCTGCCTGTGCCAGACACCGAGCCCGATCCTCATCCAGAGCATTAACAAAACACACTTATAATACGCTTCCAGACGTTTAGGATTTATCCTCATCCTTTGATGCACAAGGTGTCACTGGACAACGACTATCTCTGAGACACTCTGCACCCTTCTAGCACACTGCAACTGCATTTCTTTTGCATGGTACCCTTGAGGGTCTCCGTCAGCAGCACGCAAGAGCAAGAATAAAGAAAGGGAATTGGTTGTTGCCCCTTTCTGCATCCTGTGCTTTTTGCTCTTGGTAGAGACATCTCATGTCCGTTGTCACGTTTTATATTTTATGTGAAATGCTGTTACTGGTTCGTGTTTGACTCAAGTAATGGCAAATTTTCTTTTGCAGATCAGCTGTGAAGGGGCACGGCCGTGCAATTCCCCAGGCAGCAAACCTGACAGATTGCAACAGTTTCAAACCAAAACTTGATAGAGAGCACAGCGGAATTACAGAGGGTGAGGGATAAAGTGTTATATACACGACAATATTATTTAATTCTCATTAAAGTATTTAAGAGTAGATATGCAAGACCACAAGTGCTAATTTTCTAAATGTCATGTCCAATAAGATTCGCCTGACATTTACAAGAAAGTCCCAGCTCTCCTGTGGCTTGTCCTGCAGCACTCTCCTACATCAGCTTTACAATACCTCATAAATAATGCAGGCGCCAGGGCGTGACAAAGACAGTCCCTGTTTTTATCACTCTCGCACCTTCAGAGCGTTGTTACTGCTGTTCCTACCACCTCGCCGAAACTGAAAATCCTCACGGAAGCTTGAATTCCCAAGGGACGGGTGGGGCGTGGGGCGACAGAGGGGCAGCAGGCAAGCTCCACTTCTCCAGTTAAAGCTATGTGGAGGACAAGACTTTCATTCTTGTTCTTAAGGGTTTTTTTTTCCCTTTTGTTAAAAATACTGAATTAAAATATTTGCCCCAGTGGAAAAACATCATTAATATGACCTTGAAAAAACCTAGTGCATCTTCTTCATGCCTGCGATAAAGACGTGGGAGAACAGACCGGACTGGGGAGTGCGGGCAGAAAGAACGCAAGTTACAGGGCTGCTCAGGTTATCAGCCCAAGAATCTACAAGTTATGTTTTGGAAAATGTAACTCCTACTTATAATGACATAAAAAGTAATTTTAAGAAAATTAAATAACCAACCAGCATTGATAGATAAGTGAACATATTTATCAGTAG